GACCTGGATTGGCATGCTAGAAAAGAAGCTAGTATGAAGAGAAATCAGAGGAAATTTGAACATCTATGCTCACAATTCAAGGACTCCCCCAAACCAAGAAGGAGCAAGAGGCTATCCAATCTCAAATCAAGCTTAACTCAAGAGAAAGGTTTGCTTTAAAGTGCTAGTTGATTAACACATATCGAGCTCGGTTGATATCAGTTGATTATTTTCTCATTTCCTTGTAGTTTGGATATGGCCTATAACATTTCTTGATGTTTTGGGTATGCCCGTGCCTATGGCATTTAGCTCTTTTCTAGTGGTTGTCAATATCTAATTCTTGTTTTGGTTGGGATTCGATATGAGTTTTTTGGTTCATCTAAGCCTTCAACAATAGTATTGAAGGGTATTCAAGATTTTCTTCAATCCCAGCATCTCCAACAACTTCTTGATTGGAATGAGATTGTAATAGATGCAACGGACCCTATCCAGCATCTTACACTTGTTTGATGAAGCTTTTCTTGGATGCGATTTGGAAGGTAGCAAATGAAACTGTCCAGCTATGGAAATATGGAATGCATGCTGTATTTGTTTTTTTGGCTGTTAGCGTTTGTCTCCTCTAGGACGTCCAGCACCTTTCACATGCTCTATACATTTTTGCATTTTGGTTTACATGTTTTGGCTACTTTCTCTTTACATTTACTTTAACATCCATGTTCGATTGGAATTGTACCCCAAACTAGTGTGCTGGGGGCAGTACTCAATCTGCCTTGTATCTCTTCTCTTTCTCCTATTAATAAAAATATGTTTAAATAATATATATATATATATATATATATATATATATATATATATATATATATATATATATATATTATGTTAAGTCACAAAATGTCATATTTTATTCCCTCATTTCTTAGTACTTTTAAGATATTTAATATGCATTTTATACCTAAATAATCATATTTTGTTCTATTTAGCATTTCAGGCTATTGTTTACATTTTATACATAAAATGCATAATTTTGAGCATATTTATATTCTACAAATATTTTGGAAGTATTATTTATTACCTTGATACAAATTTTTAGATATGGAGTACAAAAGGATGAAGAAATGTCAAAATTGAATGCATATTTACAAAGAGTTATTGGGCCAAGTCAATTTGACTCACATGATCAAGTCACAATTGAAGCAAAGGAAAACAAAAGTTTAAAAAAAAAAGAAGAAGACAGCCGTGCTCTTTCCACGCGCACGAAACGGAAGAAATAAACGGAGAGCAGCGGAAGAAGTGCGAAGAAGTGGATTGCACAGAGTCTTCTTCTCCAATTCAATATCTTCAAAATTCAATTATAAAAAGAGGAGATAGAGATGAGATTGAAGGGGCGCGGATACGGAGACAAAAACAGAGAGCAGAGCATAGGCCGGCCTAGGGTTCCGACCCTAGGTCGGCGATGACAATTCCGGCAGTCCGACGGCAACCATTCCGGCAGCAGCCATGGATTCTGACGACGGCGATGACTGGCGGCTCAAGGTCGGCATCTGGTCCCGGCTTCTGTGCATCGTGCGAAGAAGACACTTCTAGGGAACATTTCTTTTACTTTTAAATTTTATTTTCTCTGAATTAGGATTTTGAATTTGTTTAATTTCAAAATTGATGAATTTGATCTCCATATTAAATACGGAGTATATTTTATTTTCAAATCTTATTTTTGTGTTGAATGTTTAAGTTATATTATAAGTGTTGCATTGTTTGAGTGTTGATGTAGAATTGTTCATGATTTGATTTATTGATTTCTTATTGTCTCTGAAATTATAAAGCCTTCTTAGGCCAAATTGTTTAGTAAAAAAAGATTGAATCTTTGTTTATTGGATTAATTTGACTTTGAAGAGATTTTAGCTCTATGCTACTGTTCAACCTAAACTCAAAAAGGTGTTCTGAGAACAATTATTCACCAGATTTTACTTAAATTGGACCAAATTAGGATCGCGACCTAATCCAGTTTAAATGATATTCTTTTAAAGTCCAAAGTGCTTTAAATAGCCGAACTTTTCTAGAAACCAAGTGTCACTTGGTTAGTGCTTGCTGCCTCGTTAAGTGGTTTTTGCTAATCAAGGTTCTCGAACTGATTTTGTTAAATAACCGTACTGTTACTGCAAGATTGTTATGGTGATGTTTTCCAAAGATTTTATTGCGCTATTCTTAGTAGTAACTTAAGGGTTTGTCTTTGAGTTGCTAAGGATAGTAGGGTTTAGAGTTAGGGTTGGTCTTAACATGAGCTAATATGAATGGGAAAATAGGGAAGAACCGTTGGTGGACCTCTTCTTCAGCCTAACCCTGAGTTTAATTAGCAGTTTAATTTCAGAATCAAGACATGATAAATTAGTGAATCAGATTTGTTCAGTTTATTTTCTATTAAAAACTATAAGTATTTTCAAAATGGTTTAAGTTAATTATTACTGTCTACGTTTTTATAAAGTTTATTGTGTGATTGTTTTTGTGTGTTTGTTTTCTCCCTGAGTGTTCTTCTAAGTTCGAGTTGCTGCTGTGGCTCCATCTCTTATCTTTTATCCTTTATCTTTATTTATTTGCATTTTTATCTTTTTAGAATTGTCATTCAAACCCCCCATATCTTTTAGATTTAGTTATTTAGTTTTAGTTAGTTTTTAGTCAATAAAAGTGACAAAGTAAACTGATTTTCATAGCTTAAAAAGTATCTTTCTTCGTGGGATCGACCCTTACTTGCCATATCTATATGTTTTAATGAATATTGAATCATAAAGAGGGTTAAGAGTTAAGGAAATTAATAAATTAATTTGTAGGTGTTACGACACGCCTATCAAATTTTGGCGCCGTTGCCGGGGAAAGATTAACTTTTTATGGAATTCGGTTTGCTATGTTTAAAAAAAACAAACAAAAAAAATATAAAAAAAACAAAACTTGAAAAAAAATCAATAAAACACGAAAAAGAAAAAGGAAAAAAAGGTTAAAAAAAAACAATAACATAAACAAAAGAAAAGCAAAAAGCGGCTACCTAAAAAAATCAGAAACCCAAGGAAATAATATTAAACAGTTGAAAAAAAATCAGTCCAGTTTGGAAATAAAAAGAAAAAAAAAGTCTGTTCTGTTACCCTTTAGTTTATGTTTTAGGTTAGTTTTTTGTTTCTTTTTAGTTTTGAATTTGTTAGTCCTTGAGTTTAATTAGAACACTAGCCATTGTCTAGGTGTATTTGCGTCTTTGTAGATTAACAGTCAATTTATCTTTTGGTTTTTGAGTCAATATCGAGTCTGTGTAACTCTTGAGTTTGTTTCTTCAAATGTTAAGTTCTAGTGTCAGTGTATTTGTAGCTTAAATTTAGATTCCTAGATTTTATTTAACTCTTATTTTTAGTTTAAGTTTAAAATATTATAACAGTAACTTATCTCAAATCTAACTTTCTTATCTAACTTATTTTAACTATAACTCTTTGAACTTTTAGTAATTTTTTTTAAAGCATTAACTGAAGAAAAAATTAAGTAAACCATTTACCTGCCCTATATTGTTTCAACTTGCTTTTGAGATAATTCATTCTAGCTATTGCATTGTTTGTTTTCATGGGTTGTTGATGCACTTTTTGGTACACATGCTTAGCAGAAAAATCTCTCAACAACATAGATCTATGAACCAGCAACAGTGGTGGAGCAACAGATGGACGAGACTAGTGTTCAAGATTCCAGTGTACCCATGTCTTAGCAGAAGTAGCTCCATCTTCACAGCAACATAAAGGATTTAGCAACGAGCAGCTCAGGATAAAGGGAAGAAGCTACACCTTGGGTGCCTATATTAAGAAGTACCCTATTGCAACGGGTGACTTGCGCAGCTATCCCAAGGTTTAAATAGCTAAATGGAAGGGACAATACTGCATTTTATATGCAAAGTGCTGGGCTTCTTGAGAGATACAGAGACCATAACCCTGGAAGTACAATCTCACATTTTTTGGAATGTTTCATTGGGAACATCCAAAAGAATCTACTGAAGTTAGAATAAATTCTATGTATTCTAAATACAAAAAAAGGCCATCATTCTTTAGGAAACTTTTCCAAGGGCCAGGTGAGTAATAAACGAGTGGTGATTGCAAGAAGGAAGCAATCTTTGTTCATGAATCTCACTTCTGATAGTCTATGGTCTGACATCGAAGAATTTTCAAAACTCAAGCACCAGTTTGAGGTTCCCGATGATACGAGATTACGGCAGGTCACTGGTCTAATGCGTAGGGAAGTGGCCAACTATTGTGGATATCTAGCTACGGTCATGTATGAAGCAGGGGAGTCGACGAACGAGCTGCTCGAGTTGCTGCGGAAGCAAACTGGTGAAAGGGGTCTTCACCTACGTCCTAATGCCTCCTGTTCCGGGCAGGGCCCACTCTCTGAATTAACCAAAGCGATAAGCTCCGGGAACAACACATCATCTGCTCTGAAAAACTGAAGGGTCCAGTGCCGAAACAAAGAGCGGGCAGTGTTCAAACACACCTGCAGGGGTAAAGGCGACCAACCGAAACCCAATCCAGTCCCGGTTGGATTAGGCACTTGTTTGTCATCGTTGGATCCAAAGAAGCCGAAGTCTAAATTCAAGGCTGGTGCATCATGAAGCTCTCACACCATAGCACAGCTAAGTATCACCTAAACTTTACCTGCCCCTAATTAGGTGTGTTGCTAGGATATAATTTATTTCCTTTCTCTTTCAGTTTCTCTGCAAATTGATGCAAATTAAAAAAAAAAATCTTCCTCTACTTGGATGGTTGATTTTTATCTTTTTATTTATACCCTCTAATCTTATAATCTGGTTGCCTTATTTGTTACATTTAAAATAAAGTTTGGGAAATAACAAAGACAGGGCCACTAGAAATAACCACAATCGGCAAGTAGGAGTAAAAAAAAAAGTAAAAAAATAGTCCAAACAAATCAAAGAGAAAAAAAATATAAAACAAAATTCTTTAAAAGTGTCAGGCTCAACTTAAAAAAAAAGTTCAATCGGATTAAAGGAAAATGAATTAGATAAAAAATCTGGTTTGAAATTAAATAAAACACACCGATCCAAAAAAAAAAAAAAAGAGGAAACGTAGTGAAAAAGGTCCCGGAACTAAATTGAAAGTATAAAAAACAGTTTCAGTAAGTTTTACAAGAAAGAAGTATTTTCCAAATACTCTTTTATGTGTTTGGGTGTAATTCAAGTTATTTGTGCTTTGCAAGTAATCACCCCACATCATAACATCTAATTTTTCAGAAACTTGATCACTTTTTGAGAAATTTTGTTGTTAGAGCTTTATGTGTTTATTTGGAAAATACACTTATGAATATTACTAAAACTAGTTTAAATTGCTTACTTTGACCTTGTGATTAGCTATTGGTTTGTTTTGGAGTGTTGTTTTGAGTGATCACAGGTTATTAAGAGTACGATATGGATTCTCCATGTTGTCCTGAGCAGAACAACGAGTCTAGCCGCAGACATTAAAAGATGGCAGCTTTCTGGGAGGCAACCCAGATATTTAAACTTTTACTTTTATGCATTTTATTTACTTTTTTTTCTTTTTGTATTATCCTCTTCTTCACTTGCACTTTGTCTGCCTTGCATGCTTAATTGTCATATCTTATGATCCCCTTCCTACATTCTTGCATCTGTTTGTTATTGTTCATGTTTCATGTTGTTAATTGTCTCATCTTATATGTGCATAAGTTCATCATTTTTTCATCATTTACATGCATTGAGGACACTGCATGATTTAAGTGTGGGGGGACGCTTCTGCATTTAGTTATGCATATTTTAGGAAAAAAATTGTTTGCATGTTTTTATACACATTCTAGGAGCATGAACAGGGTAGAAAAAAAGACATTTCATGTCAAACATAGCATTTTAGACGCAAATTGGTTAAAAATTGAAGTTTTTAAAAGTTTTTAAAGAAAACAAAAATCTTTCACATGAAAATCAATATAAGAAAAAGAGAATTTCAATAAAAATTAGAAATCAAAATAGTTTCTTTTAATCTTTTAGCACTCTTAAGTCTTGCATTTTTGCATTAAATTGAAATTAATTTTGTAACAAATATGTTTGAATTTCTTTAAAAATGAGTTTGCTACTTAAAATTTAAATCATTTCTCTTAATTCAAATCTGATTAGAACTTATTTTTGTTTAATTTCATACCTTTTAATTAGTTAAGTTCAATGTGCACAATTTATTTAGAAATACATGGAGCAGTTTTCCAACTAACTCTTTTTTGTCCTAAGTTGCTATTCAAGTCAAGTTAGTCTTAAGACAAAAAAAATTTCTTTTTCTAAATTTTGGTTATTTACATATTATCTAGATGCTGAAATGATATAAATATATATACTGGAACACCATCTTAGGTTGGCATGGGTGGCACGGCACCTTTGTCTCCTTAAGCAACAGATCCCAAAAGGAAGTGATGTTGTGTATGGCGAAAACCTGTGTTGGAAGAGTAAACCCCGTTTTGGGCCGTACGAATCTCGTCCATAACCAGTTAAAAAAAAGAAAAAAAAACCGACGCCATTGAGCCAAAAGAAAAAAAGTGCAATAAATGGCTAGGTAAAAGTAAGAAAAAAAATGAATGAAAATATTGTTTGAGCACTCGAGTTAAAACCCTTGGAATACTTCGTTTATTTAGGTCCCGGGCTATCTGGAATGGGCCTGGGGTAGCCTGGTTGAAACTCGCTACACGGGTCAACTCAAACAATTAAAATTAAAATATTAAATCAAAGCAATAAATAAAAGTTTCCAAATTTTGGAAAAGAAAATAAATTTTCTTGAGCTTTTCTTTAATTGTTTGTTTCTTAGGATTTCTAACCATTTTTGCTGCTCTATTTATTTCTTTTAAATTGTCCTTAATGACCTTAGTTAATTCAAAGTTTTGACATTAAATAAAAATGTTTTCTACTTAGCTTTGAAGTGAAAGAACTGTTTTAAAATTTATAGTAGTAAATTTATTTTTAAAGTGTTTATTCTATTTGGTACATGATTAATTTCTAGTTAATGTTTCATGCATCACTTTGATGGTTATGAGATTGAGAAATTGTTTTGAATTCTAATTTCAACAAATCGAAAAAGGTTGTCAACATCTAGTTTGCACGAGGGCGTGCAAAAGTTCAAGTGTGGGGGTATTTGTTAAGTCACAAAATGTCATATTTTATTCCCTCATTTCTTAGTACTTTTAAGATATTTAATATGCATTTTATACCTAAATAATCACATTTTGTTCTATTTAGCATTTCAGGCTATTGTTTACATTTTATACATAAAATGCATAATTTTGAGCATATTTATATTCTACAAATATTTTGAAAGTATTATTTATTACCTTGATACAAATTTTTAGATATGGAGTACAAAAGGATGAAGAAATGTCAAAATTGAATGCATATTTACAAAGAGTTATTGGGCCAAGTCAATTTGACGCACATGATCAAGTCACAATTGAAGCAAAGGAAAACAAAAGTTTAAAAAAAAGAAGAAGACAAGCCGTGCTCTTTCCACTCGCACGAAACGGAAGAAATAAACGGAGAGCAGCGGAAGAAGTGCGAAGAAGTGGATTGCACAGAGTCTTCTTCTCCAATTCAATATCTTCAAAATTCAATTATAAAAAGAGGAGATAGAGATGAGATTGAAGGGGCGCGGATACGGAGACAAAAACAGAGAGCAGAGACGGCAACCATTCCGGCAAACATAGGCCGGCCTAGGGTTCCGACCCTAGGTCGGCGATGACAATTCCGGCAGTCCGACGGCAACCATTCCGGCAGCAGCCATGGATTCTGACGACGGCGATGACTGGCGGCTCAGGGTCGGCATCTGGTCCCGGCTTCTGTGCATCGTGCGAAGAAGACACTTCCAGGGAACATTTCTTTTACTTTTAAATTTTATTTTCTCTAAATTAGGATTTTGAATTTGTTTAATTTCAAAAATTGATGAATTTAATCTCCATATTAAATACGGAGTATATTTTATTTTCAAATCTTATTTTTGTGTTGAATGTTTAAGTTATATTATAAGTGTTGCATTGTTTGAGTGTTGATGTAGAATTGTTCAAGATTTGATTTATTGATTTCTTATTGTCTCTGAAATTATAAAACCTTCTTAGGCCAAATTGTTTAGTAAAAAAAGATTGAATCTTTGTTTATTGGATTAATTTGACTTTGAAGAGATTTTAGCTCTATGCTACTGTTCAACCTAAACTCAAAAAGGTATTCTGAGAACAATTATTCACCAGATTTTACTTAATTGGACCAAATTAGGATCGCGACCTAATCCAGTTTAAATGATATTCTTTTAAAGTCCAAAGTGCTTTAAATAGCCGAACTTTTCTTGAAACCAAGTGTCACTTGGTTAGTGCTTGCTGCCTCGTTAAGTGGTTTTTGCTAATCAAGGTTCTCGAACTGATTTTGTTAAATAACCGTAGTGTTACTGCAAGATTGTTATGCTGATGTTTTCCAAAGATTTTATTGCGCTATTCTTAGTGGTAACTTAAGGGTTGGTCTTTGAGTTGCTAAGGATAGTAGGGTTTAGAGTTCGGGTTGGTCTTAACATGAGCTAATATGAATGCGAAAATAGGGAAGAACCGTTGGTGGACCTCTTCTTCAGCCTAACCCTGAGTTTAATTAACAGTTTAATTTCAGAATCAAGACATGATAAATTAGTGAATCAGATTTGTTCAGTTTATTTTCTATTAAAAACTATAAGTATTTTCAAAATGGTTTAAGTTAATTATTACTGTCTACGTTTTTATAAAGTTTATTGTGTGATTGTTTTTGTGTGTTTGTTTTCTCCCTGAGTGTTCTTCTAAGTTCGAGTTGCTGCTGTGGTTCCATCTCTTATCTTTTATCCTTTATCTTTATTTATTTGCATTTTTATCTTTTTAGAATTGTCATTCAAACCCCCCCATATCTTTTAGATTTAGTTATTTAGTTTTAGTTAGTTTTTAGTCAATAAAAGTGACAAAGCAAACTGATTTTCATAGCTTAAAAAGTATCTTTTTTCGTGGGATCGACCCTTACTTGCCCTATCTATATGTTTTAATGAATATTGAATCATAAAGAGGGTTAAGAGTTAAGGAAAATAATAAATTAATTTGTAGGTGCTACGACACGCCTATCAATATATATATATATATATATATATATAAAATTTTATATATATATATATATATATATATATATATATATAATATAATATAATATATATATATATATATAATATATATATATATTTATATATATATATTATTTATATTATATATATATATATATATTATTTATATTATTTATATATATATAAATAATATATATATATTATTTATATTATATATATATATATATATATATATATATGGGATTGACTCCAGTGAGATGACACCTTATGGTAAGATGGCATGCTTCAATGAGATGACACAACACACAACACTGGCAATGGAAAGCTCACCAACTGCCAATGCAAAGCTCACCAACTACCAATGCAAAGCTCACCAACTGTCAATGCAAAGCTCACCACTTTTTTTAAATAAAAAAAGTTAAAAAAATAACACCACCACTCAACCACCACTCAACCACCGCTCAACCACCGGTCCACGAAAATAGTGGGGGTCATCGGTGGTGGCCATTGGTCATGGGCGGTCAAAGTGTAAAGCTCACCAACTATCAATGCAAAGCTCACCAACTGTCAATGGAAAGCTCACCAAGGAACAATGCAAAG